CATGTCATGCATGTTCAAAGTCACTTAAATCCCCTTTCTTCCCCATTCTGGTGCTCGGTTTCAACTTCAGCCAGTTCTCTTCACCACGTCTAGATGCCTAAATGCATTGAGTTGCTGCCATGTGATTGACTGATTAGCATGTTGTGTTACTAAGCAATTGACCAGCTGTACCTAATAAAGTGGTCAGTGAATGTAGGGTTCCTGTATATTGTTTTCTACTTATTTATTTCTTCTAATAGTTGAACTAGATGGAATTGTATCTTTTTTTAACCACTTGTCGACCACCTCACGTAGGAGTACGGCGGCAAGGTGACCTTCTGCCCTGCATCACGTATATAATACATGATCCAGCTCTTCTGGGTAGCCGCCCCGGCCGTGCTGTGGTTAGTTACAGCACAAGCCAATCAGCAAGTCCCGGCCAATAATTGATGGCTGGGACACGCTGATCAGCAAAGCAAATGATATGACAAAAATGTAGCAGAATACATTTTAGCCTAAATGTATGAAGAAATTTGATTTTTAAAATTTTTTTATTGGATATACAGTGGGCAAAAAAGTATTTAGTCAGCCACCAATTGTGCAAGTTCTCACACTTAAAAAGATGAGAGAGGCCTGTAATTGGCATCATAGGTAGACCTCAACTATGAGAGACAAAATTAGAAAAAAAATCCAATCACATTGACTGATTTGGAAAGAATTTATTTGCAAATTATGGTGGAAAATAAGTATTTGGTCAATATCAAAAGTTCATCTCAATACTTTGTTATATATCCTTTGTTGGCAAACACTGTTTATTTCAGTGAACTGCGTCACTACGTCGCATCTACGCGCCGGACATAGTTCCGGCAGAACACCATCTTGGTACACCAGGTTCTTACATAGTACACCCATACTCTGTGGTGTGACAGCCTGTTTTCATCCTACAAAATGTGAGTGTTTACTTGGCGTTTTTATATGTTTACACTGAAATAAACATTGTTGCACTATGGAAGATCTGTTCTTTGTCCTTTCATGGCCCTAAAATGGTACTTGTAATTTTGCTACACTACGATTACCTGCCTGTGAAAGGGGAATCCAAGCCTTAAGCGAACAACCAGTGAGGGTCTGTGAAACCAGTGGAGCCTGTTTGGTCTGGTCTGGAGATTTCCTATATAGGATCCAGGGTGATCCATAAGGCGTTTTGACCCTTTTGGGTTGCATTCAGGAGGTGAGGGGCAATCCTGCCATTTAAGGATATCAATTTACCATTTGCACTTGCACTGCAGCACTTGTTTGAAGATTGAAGCACCTTCTTTACATTTTTTGCTATTTGCACCTGGTTGGAAATGTGTTCATATTTATTTGTTGGATTGTTTTTTCTTGCTATTTATGATTATTTATGTTATTGCAATTATTGGGGTATTTCAGCACATGTCACTTTATTATATATATCCCGCATTTGGGATCCACTTTATACAGTCATGGCCGAAATTGTTGGCACCCTTGATATTTCTCCAGGAAATCATGTATTTCTCACGAAACGTATTGCATTAACACATGTTTTGCTATACACATGTTTATTCCCTTTGTGTGTATTGGGACAAAACAAAAAAAGGGAGGAAAGAAAGCAAATTCGACATAATGTCACACAAACCTCCAAAAATGGGCTGGACAAAAGTATTGGCACCCTTTCACAACTGCGGATAAATAAGAATGTTACAAGCATGTGATGCTCCTGTAAACTCACCTGGGGCAAGTAACAGGTGTGGGCAATATAGAAATCACACCTGAAAGCAGATAAAAAGGAGAGACGTTCCTTAACCTTTGCATTGTGTGTCTGTCTGTGCCACACTAAGCATGGACAACAGAAAGAGGAGACGAGAACTGTCTGAGGACCTGAGAACCAAAATTGTGGCAAAATATCAACAATCTCAAGGTTACAAGTCCATCTCCAGAGAACTAGATTTGCCTTTGTCCACAGTGCGCAACATTATCAAGAAGTTTGCAACCCATGGCACTGTAGCTAATCTCCCTGGTCGTGGACGGATGAGGAAAATTGATGAAAGATTGCAACGCAGAATAGTCCGGATGGTGGATAAGCAGCCCCAAACATGTTCCAAAGACATTCAAGCTGTCCTGCAGGCTCAGGGAGCATCAGTGTCAGCGCGAACTATCCGTCGACATTTAAATGAAATGAAACGCTATGGCAGGAGACCCAGGAGGACCCCACTGCTGACACAGAGACATAAAAAAGCAAGACTACAGTTTGCCAAAATGTACTTGAGTAAGCCAAAAGCCTTCTGGGAAAACGTCTTGTGGACAGATGAGACCAAGATAGAGCTTTTCGGTAAAGCACATCATTCTACTGTTTACCGAAAACGGAATGAGGCCTACAAAGAACAAAACACAGTACCTACGGTAAAAATATGGTGGAGGTTCAATGATGTTTTGGGGTTGTTTTGCTGCCTCTGGCACTGGGTGCCTTGACTGTGTGCAAGGCATCATGAAATCTGAGGATTACCAAAGGATTTTGGGTCGCACTGTAGGGCCCAGTGTCAGAAAGCTGGGTTTGCGTCCAAGATCCTGGGTCTTCCAGCAGGACAATGACCCCAAACATACGTCAAAAAGCACTCAGAAATGGATGGCAAAGAAGCGCTGGAGAGTTCTGAAGTGGCCAGCAATGAGCCCAGATCTAAATCCCATTGAACACCTGTGGAGAGATCTTAAAATTGCTGTTGGGAAAAGGTGTCCTTCCAATAAGAGAGACCTGGAGCTGTTTGCAAAGGAAGAGTGGTCCAAAATTCCGGGTGAGAGGTGTCAGAAGCTTATTGATGGTTATAGGAAGCGACTGATTTCAGTTATGTTTTCCAAAGGGTGTGCAACCAAATATTAAGTTAAGGGTGCCAATACTTTTGTCCAGCCCATTTTTGGGGTTTTGTGTGACATTATGTCATATTTGCTTTTTCTGCCTCTGTTTTATATTTGTTCCAATACATACAAAGGGAATAAACATGTGTATAGCAAAACATGTGTTAATGCAATACCTTTTTTTGTGTGAAATACTTGATTTTCAGGAAAAATATAAAGGGTGCCAACAATTTCGGCCATGACTGTATGTGACTAAGATTTTGGGGCAGCATTTCCAAATTGGGGATTTGGTTTTTTCATGTTTTCACTTTATGAAGGCACTAGATTGGGACCTGTAGATCACATGCACTTTATATCACTGTTTGTGACACTTTCATGTAGACCCTTGTGTATATATATATTTATATTGTATTTATATTGTATTTATCTATTTATGTTTATCTTATTTATGTAGCGTTACACCAAATTTTATTACATCTGTTCAATAAAGTAGTTCCAGGTTGGCATCTAAGCTAGTCTCATCTAGTCTTGGGTGCAATGCCCAGCTATAATATCTTGGTCCTGTGTCCCAGTGGCAAGGAAACGGTTCTCTGATGGAATCAGTCTGCAGTCTGGGACATCTAAACCAACACTGGGACCCGAGGTCAGGTTAGCAGAAGAGGAGAGGAACAGATACCAGCAGCCATGAAAGCGGAATTTGAAAGGAGGCTGCGAGAGATGCGGAAGCGGCACAAAGGACCAGTACCAGACCAGGTCCTTCTGTGATTGGATGACTCCGTCTAACACCAACTCTGAAAGGAAGCACTAGAAGAGCAGCATCACCAGGGAAACATTCTCTCCTCCATTCAGGAAAGGTACTGATCGCAATAAAAAGTGCAGCTGCTGTAATGGTGGAACAACCGCACAAAATGTGAACAGCTGAGTTAAGCAGGCTGGTCTGGGCAGAGATGCGGCTAATGATAGCTACAGAGCCCTCTGCTGATATGTAGTCCAAGTGTGCCCTTGGACAGTGGACGACAACCTGACAGAAGGCTTTGGCTACAACGGCCTGGGGTTGTTGTACAGGAAGCTGTCACGGGACCCTGACTTCAGGAGCGATTTGGAGTGGGGTTTGGAGGAAATCATGGATTACAAAGACTAGATGCTGAACATCTCAGCAGTGCTCTGGGCACAGGAAGATTGAGTTTCTAGCTGTTCAGGAATGGTGATTGGAGACAAAAGATATATTTGGCGCACTAAAAAGAAAATAAAACAGATGTATACTTTGATGGCTAGCATAATAACAACACAAGTAAAGTCCTTAAAGTCCAAAGGTGGTTAAGGGATATTCTAACAATGCTTGACTCAGTGGCAGCCGATTAAAAAAAAGCTAGAAGAGACTCTGTGTGAACCATAAAAGAGAGAAGCAGCGCCATCTAAGTACAGCAATATAAGTAAATAATTTATTCCACAAAATTGGCCACTCACAATAGTAGTAGTTAAGTGAGTGCTTGTCAAACTGGTGTGAACTACTGTGCACTTCCTGGTGGTCCTGCTGCAGGCAAGTCTCCAAAGTGCTATCCTTGGCTATGCTGGTGGTTCCCAGTACTTCCTGTTCAGTGTGGATCCTCAGGGCAAGCAGGAGTGATGTCAGCTCCAGTTACAGCAACAGTAGGCATTGCACACATTCAGAACACGCATGCTCCTTCATCAAGTCACAGAGGGGGCATATATTGACAAATGATAGTGGCGGACTATAGGGCCCAGCCAACTCATGGACAGACCCAAGTGTCATCCTACGTTAGTACAAAAAAAACATATCAAGCCTCCCTCTCTTAAACTAATTAGATGAAGTGCTCTTAAATTAAAATACAATAAATAAAATAAACATATAAGAAGGAGATTAATGGGAAATTATGAAAATTAGGCAAGTATCTCACTAAACACTATAACATAGAGACCATAAGGGTCCTGTATGGGTAAACAGATATGTAAAAATATAAATGTTTGTACATAAACAGGGGACTCCATATTATTGAAAATGTGTATACAAAAATGCTAGATAATGATAATAATGCTACCTATGCCATTTGGAAAAATGAAAATAATATAGAGCAGGGGTATTGAATTAAAATTCAAAGAGGTCCGGTCACTAAAAAATTCTTCTGGCCGAGGTCCGAATAGGGTGTGCCCCCTTATTATTACATGTCGCCATCAGAGTGCAACTTTAAATCATGTATTCCCATCACATCAGGTTTTCCCATCAGAGTGGTCCTTTACATCAGTTGTCCCCATCAGAGTGCCTCTTTACATAAGGTATCCCCATCACATTGCCACCTTATATCAGGTATTCCCATCAGAGTGCCCCCTTACAAAGTACCCCTTTCTATCAGATTTCCCTTTCAGAGTGCCCCTTTCCCATCATCTTCCCCAACAAAGTGCCCCTTTCCATCACATGTGCCCATCAGAGTGCCCCTTTCCACAGTTTTTGTCCCTTAACACAAAATGTGCCCATCAGAGTGCCCCTTAGTATAAATATGCTCAACTCTTGAGGGAGTCTACTCCACATTCTCACAGCTCTTACTATGAAGAAACCTTTCCGTATTTGGAGATTAAATTTCTTTTCCTCCAGACGAGAGTACCCTCTTGTCCTCTGTGATAACCTCAGGGTGAATAACTAATAATAATAATACATCAAGTTCACTATATGAATCACTGATGTATTTATACATGTTGATCATATCCCCCTAATCTCCTCTTCTCAAGAGAGAATAAATTCAGTTCCTCTAATCTTACCTCATAGCCGAGCTCCTCCATGCCTTGTATCAGTTTGGTTGCCCTTCTCTGTACTTTCTTCAGTTCCCCAATGTTTTTTGTGTGAATTGGTGCCCAAAATTGAACTACATATTCCAGATGAGGTCTTACTAATACAGGAGTAAAATGATATCTCTCTCTCTCTGAAGTCTACAACCTTTTTTATACAAGAGAGGATTTTGCTCGCTTTAGAAGCCACAGCTTGGCATTGCATGCCATTATTAAGCTTGTGATCTACCAGAACTCCCAGATCCTTCTCCACCATTGATTCCCCCCCCCAGTAGTATGTACGATGCATGCATATTCTTAGCCCCCAAGTGCATAACCTTACATTTATTAACATTAAACTTAATTTGCCACATAGTTGCCCAATTAAACAGTGCATTGGGGTCGGCTTGTAAATTGGAGACATCGTGTAAGGACGTTATTCCACTGCAAAGCTTGGTGTCATCTGCAAAGACTGAAATGGTATTTTAATCCCAGACCCTATATCGTTTATAAATATTTTAAAAAGTAAGGGTCCCAATACTGAACCCTGGGGTACACCACTGACAACCCTAGACCATTCAGAGTATGAATCATTAACCACTACTCTCTGAATACGATCTTTTTAGCCAGTTTTCTATCCATTTACATATGGATTTTTCCAAGCCCGTATACTTTACCTTACAAATTAGCCGTGTTTGGGGAACTGTGTCAAACACTTTTGCAAAATCCAAGTATACCACGTCCACCGCCACCCCTCTGTCCAAGGTTTTTGCTCACCTCCTCATAAAAAGAAATCAGATTTGTTTGAAAACTCCTGTCTTTCATGAATCCATGCTGTAATTACTTGGTAAAGATTTTGACCCCTTTTAAATATTGGCACCACATTGGCTTTTATGCCAATCCAGTGGTACTATGCCAGTCATTAAAGAGTCCCTAAAAAATTAGAAACAATGGCTTTGAAAAGAGGGCTCAATTCTTTAAGGACCCCGTGGGTGTATGCCATCCAGTCCAGGTGCTTTATCCACTTTTATTCTGTCTAAATCTTTTTGGATCATATCAATTGTGAGCTAATGTGGATCATCTGGAGCTGTGTCAATACCATGGCCCATTGTTGTGGTACACTATTTGATTTATTATTTCTGTGACCATCACTTGTTTATCATTGCTCTGTGTCTTTAAGCTGTCTCCTCCTGTCTAAGCTGAGCTCTTTCTCTCATCGTACTTGTGTATATCCCTCCCCCTGCCTCTCTCTGTAGTCATTCCACTGTACCCTGTCTACCTGTATGCATCTTTCCATGAGGCTTACAACATTGATCTACAGTTGTGCTCAAAAGTTTACATACCCTGGCAGAAATTGTGAAATTTTGGCATTGATATTGAAAATATGACTGATCATACCAAAAAAATGCTTTTTTATTGAAGGATGATGATCATATGAAGCCATTTATTATCAAATAGTTGTTTTGGCTTCTTTTCAAATCATAATGATAACAGAAATCACCCAAATGGCCATGATCAAAAGTTTACATACCCTGGAATGTTTGGTCTTGGTACAGACACAGAAGGTGACACACATGGATTAAAATGCCAATTAGAGGTTAATGTCCCACATCTGTGGCTTTTTAAATTGCAATTAATGTCAGTGTAATAAATAGTCAATGAGTTTGTTAGCTCTTACATGGAAGCACTGACTGGGCTAGATACTGAACCATGGGGGATCAGAAAAGAGCTGTCAAAAGTCCTGCGTAACAAGGTAATGGAACTTTATAAAGATGGACAAGGACATATAAAGATGTCCAAAGCCTTGAATATGCCAATCAGTACTGTTAAATCACCTATTAAGAAGTGGAAGTGGAGTCCTTCCAATGATCAGTAATAACACTTGTGGCCTGACACAAACAGAGACCCTAACTAACTATAGGCCCGGACTCAGTCTCAAGGCGCCAACACTGAAATAAGGTGCGTGCACGATCTTACCGATCCGGGTCTGCTTTGCATCCGCTGGTGACTCTGAACAGAACAAATGCCTCTCCAACAAGCATGCGGTCTCGCCGTATATGTTGCTTAGTTCCTCTGCTCTCATTACATTCCTGGCAGCAATCTCATCAGCTTCCTGGCAGCAATCTCATCAGCTGCAACTCTGGTTACGGAGGGATGCTCTCACACCTGGATGTCATCATATTCTCAGCTCACACGGCCCCCCTCATTCACCATTCTCCAGAACATGGCTGCTGTCTCTGTTCTCTGTGTGAAAACTCCACCTCTTCATGAATATAGAAATATCTATGCAGTCTGAGGCTGTGTTTAGAAAAACAGTGACATCTTGTGGCTAAAACTGCAGAATGTCAGTCAAAACATTTAATTTACTCCACACAAGCAGTATTCAAACAATGAGAGCTGTTTCCCCCCATCTCACAGGGGTCCCCAGCTGAAGCGCTGGCAACAAGGCAGAGCGCTGCTGGCTTCTGTCCAGCACCTACTGTGTCTTCACAGCTCCAGGGAGTTGAGGCAGTCGTTTCCTCTCCCCAGCAGCAGCAGCAGACCAAGCCCTGGAATGGTAAAGACCTCCCAGCTGAAGCACTGGCAGCCAGACAGAGGGTCCATGACCTCTGCTCCTCACCTACCAATGACAACTCTTCCCTACAGACAAGAATGGAGATTGTGTGGACCAACTATTTGGGTTCACTCTGCCTGACTAACGCATGTCCAGTCCAGGTGGAGGTCTGGAACCTGGTTAATTGACTTTTGAGGGGGAGAAATATGACATACCCAAAAAGGACAGGGGCTTTGGGAGAGGACTGCACGCTAGCCTCTTTGCCTACTGACCATGTCCCTGGCATCTAAGGAGGCTCTATTCTTTGGTGTGTGCCTGGGGGGGGGACCTTTTGGAGTAGTTCACTTTTGGATTCAAGTTCTTGTCTCCCCAAAACACACAGACTTTGAGAACTGGAGGGCCAGGATATAGATTTGGGGTCCCTGTGCCCAAACCAGCATTGACTGCTTTAACCCCCCCCCTTTCTAAAAACTCAGAGACTCTAAACAGATGTTAATATAATCAGATTAAAACAAACCTGATGCTGAGGACTCTTGCGCTAATCTGTTTATTAAGGTGTTATGTGTCTTTCTACCACTGTTTGTCTCCTAGGTGTGTATTCCATTGTTAATTGAGTCACCTATTGCTTGTCTGTTGGCAATCTCTTCTTGGAGGCTCCTACATGAAGAGCTTAGACTGATGTCAGCTTCACCCCGTTATCTAATCAATGTGGGATGTTTATTCTAATGTATAATATTTGTGGTTATTGTTAATGTTGGGACTGCCCCTATTTGTGAATAAAAACCTGTGATTTCTGTTTAATAAAGAGTTCCAGTTGTGGCATCTAAGCTAGTCTCGTCTAGTCTTGGGTGCAATGCCCAGCTATAATACCCCAGCTATAATGCCCCAAACTACATCAAATACCACCCAAAATTCACTTTCCGCTCTTCACAAGACCTCCTTATCTCTAGTTCCCTGATCTCCTCCTCCCATGCCCGCCTCCAAACTTCTCCAGGGCATCACCCATCCTCTGGAACTCCCTACCCCAATCCATCTGACTATCACCCACTCTCCTCTCCTTTAGGCGCACCCTAAAACCCCACCTCTCCAGGGAAGCCTACCCCACCCTCTGCTAACTATCGATCTCCTCCACTCTTCCTACCACTCCATCCCCCACAGCTTTTCCTCCGGTACAACTATATCCCCTCCCTCCTATATTGTAAGCTCCAAGGAGCATGGCCCTCGAACCCCTCGTGTATCGCACTGTATTGTTATTGTACTGTCTCATGTATTGTCTCCCATTGTAAATGTACAGCGCTGAGCGAACTGTTGACGCTATATAAATACTGTATAATAATAATAATAATACCTTGGTCCTGTGTCCCAGTGGTGAGGAAGCAGTTCCCAATCGGGGTGACAGGCTTTCCGTCACATCTTAAATGGTCAAGGGTTGTTAGTGGTGTACACCAAGGTTCAGTGTTGGGATCCTTACTTTTTATTATACAGTATATCTAAATGATATGGGATCTGGGATTAAAAGTACCATTTCACTCTTTGCAGATGACCTCAAGCTATGCAGTGGAATAACGTCCTTACAAGATGTCTCTAACTTACAAGCCGACCTCAATGCACTGTTTAATTGGGCAACTGAGTGGCAAATGAGATTTAATGTTGATAAATGTAAAATTATGCACTTGGGTGCTAAGAATACGCATGCATCATACATACTAGGGGGAGTAAAACTGGGGGAATTAGTGGTGGAGAAGGATCTGGGGGTTCTGGTCAATTATAAGCTTAATAGTTGGTCTGCAATCCCAAGCTGCGGTTTCTAAAGCAAGCAAAATCCTCTCTTGTATTAAAAGAGGTATAGACTCCATAGAGAGATATCATATTACCCCTGTACAAATCATTAGTAATACCTCATCTGGAATACGCAGTTCAGTTTTGGGCACCAATTCACAAAAAGAACATTGGGGAACTGGATAAAGTACAGAGAAGGGTAACCTCAGATATGGTGAAAGATTAGAGTAACTGAATTTATTCTCTTGAGAAGAGGAAACTAAGGGGGGATATGATCAACATGTATAAATACATTAGTGGTTATTCACCTTTAGGTCATCACAGAGGACAAGGGGGCACTCTTTATGTCTGCA